TTGGAGGTCACTCATTCATAGGGTCGGAGGCAACTTGATGGCACGTAACAAGAGTAGAACCATTGAGGACAGGCTATTTGAGTCACTATGAGTCAGAGGTGACTTGACAACACATAACAACAACAACAACACAAGGCCATGGAGTGAACAATACACCCCAATCTAACAAGGAGGGGGAACCACTAACCAGCACCTTGAATCCTGAGCTAGCCCGGTTCTCGTCTACTTCTCAACAAGGATATTGTCTTCAAAATAACACACAATCCTGACCTTGCCATGGCCATACAAAAGGGTTGAAGCATAAATCCCATTATCCCCCGTCAGCATCACCCTGCTAAAGGCATCTGCCTGGGAAAGAAAGCCTGTTCTGATTTATGGAGCCAGGCGATGGGCTGACCGAGGCAGGGGAGGATTTATATAACATCTGTGTTTCTGCCGAGACGCCCACACACGGACAAGCCTTTTATCAGTGGAGGTGCTTAACGAGATTAACGTCTTGGCTATCAACTTCTATATTTATCATGGTGGTCAGCAAAAAAAGAAAGAAAAGAGGGCTGACCCAGATCAAGCTTTTTCTCAGAGATGTTCTCTACAGGAGACTCACGCCGGCTGTCCAGCCAGGCATCTCGTGCGTCTTCTGTGTCAGCAAAAACTCTAACCAATCGACAAAATACAAAGCAATTGGGTTGTCAAGATATCATTCACATATAATACATAAGAATGGTTAGGGGGAGGATTTCTATGACATGTCACATTTTCTCGGCAACCTACATTTGAACCCACAAGCAAGCTCAAACACCTGGCCTTTTTCGCCAGATTACTCATCAACATGTTCGAACCCAGCCATAAGCTTAAACATAAGAGTTTCTGGAAAAAATATGACATGTCATAGAAACCCTCCCTCTAGTAATCATAATCATCATGCCCCATCAAATCAATTCTGAGTTACAGTTGATCTAGTCGCAGGAGGCATAATGGGGAATTGCATTCTCAACCGCTGCCTCTGTGCCCAAATACTAATGAGCTATCCAACTTAATTCTGTTTTTAACATTGCCGCCCTGCAAGAGTGAAGCCCTAGAACGAAATCTGGCCCCTCTTCCTCACAATAACAAGGGTCTAGTCGCATCCGAACACTTGCACAGGGCTTCTTTTTCATTCTGAAAGGATTAAATGGCTCTCCCAAGACACTGCCGTTGGCGCAAGAACCTTCAAGGTAAAAGTACACCTGTGTTTTCGCCCTATTTCTTTCTCTTTTTTCCCCTTTCGGCTGCGTCCCTGAGCAGGTCTATGGTGTTGAACTGGGCCCTCAAGCTGACAAATTCTTATCTTGTGGTGTAAGAACAGACAGATGTGGTAGTCGATGGACTCGGCATGCTTCCTCCAAGCCAAAAAAAAAATACTGACCACTGACAGAAAAGTATCACAAGTAAGTCATTATTTAGAGAAAAAAACCCCAAGTTTGTTTGTGTGGCGGGTGGGTGTGAGGGGAAGGAGGACAGAAATCCAAAGCCAACCCATGGGGGAACCTGAACAGTTTGGGGGCGGGAGAAATGATAAACAATGAATGAAACGGAGCATTCAGAATCCTGAAAAAAGATCACTCGGATTGCTTATGATATGCTCTCTGTACAGATTGAACAGACAAGTGGATAAAATGCACTTTTGTCTGACCTCTTTGCCCGCTGGAAACCATTCTGTCTCTCCATCTTCTGTTCTAATGATACTTTCTAGTCCACAGTACAAGTCCCCACATCAGGACCATCAAGGGCTGAGGCACAGCCGTTTCTCTCAGAACAATCCACCGCTTCTCATGACCCGCCCAGTCGAAAAGCTTTGCTGTCATCTATAAAGCATCGTCTGATCTTCTGAGATTCCCCAATGCGCTCCAGTCACCTAATCTGGACGGGTTGGAGGCTGAGCTAAGCCGAGTTCCCCCCCCCCAAGCTCTCTGTTCCTGCCCCAGCGCTAGCTGAAAACTTTCCTTCGTTACAAAAAGCTAGGTGGTGTTAGGCCTACCTACACCTCCAAGTCTTAATTTAGGACTTTTTCCCAGGTGGGCCACATTTAGGTATCTGTAAGTCAGGTGAAACTCCCAGAATGGGGAATGACTGGATTTGTCGTTCAAGAAACCCATAACTCCACCCCTACTTGGGAATATAGTACAGTCGTGCCTCACTTAACGATTGCCTCGCTTAACGAGGAAATTGCTATACGATTAGGTTTTTGCGATCGCAAAACGATGTTTTAAATGGAGTTTCTTTGTTTAACAATGATCGGTTCTCTGCTTCGTCGGGTTTCAAAATGGCCACCGAGGTTCTTTGCTTCGTCGGGTTTCAAAATGGCCACCGGCTGAAGCAAATGGCCCCCCACTGTTTTCTAGGCTGGATTCCTCACTTTACAGGCACCAAAAATGGCCGCCGTATGGAGGATCTTCACTGGACGAGCATGTATTCAGCCCTTTGGAACGCACTGAACGGGTTTCAATGGTGCTGGATCGTTTCGTCTGACAATGTTTTCGCTCTACAGCGATTTTGCTGGAACAAATTAACATCGTCAAGTGAGGCACCACTGTATCTCCCATAAGCCATGCTGGCTGAAGATTCTCGGAGGTGTCGTAAACAGGTAAAGAAAACGTTCCAAGATCTGCCTGTTTCTACGCTCCAGCTGTCGGTATAAATGTTCTGACCTGGATTTTAAAATGTCATCTCAGAATCAAGTCACATGCCCTGTCCCCCTTTCCCAGTTCTGCCAGGCACGTATGTAATTAGAAACTGGGCCAGGTGGTTGCTCTGTTTACAAAAGCAAAACCTAAGCATTCCAGAGTGAGCAAAGCCAACGCTCTGAATTTAAAGTGTATTTTGCTGCATCAGTAAACAGACGCACAAACGGTGCCAATTTTACCCACTGCTTTTTCAAAAAGCAACATGTATTACTCTATAATTTTTTGTTTTTGAATGGGCATGGCTCTGCCCTCGTTCGAGGTGACCTGATTTTCCCAAGGCACCCTACCATGCCAAGCAGTGAAATTCTGTTTCAAATGATTGTAATGCTTTAAATGTAAACTATTTTAGAGTAACCCAGTTCAAACGAAGCAAAGGTTTCAAATCTCTAACAGCAGCTGGGGGAACCTGGCAAAATCCCAGTCTGCACGGCCATGTCTTTTCCAGTTTAAAAAGCCAGAGGGGGGGGGAAAGGGTGTTCGAAAATGGTTACAGAGGAAGCTAGCGATCTTATCTTTATACTATAGGAATCAGGCCACCACTGAGAAGGCCCTGTCTCCCACGCCTACCAACTACAGTGGTGCCTCGCTAGACAGTTACCCCGCATGACAGTTTTTTTGCTAGACATTGACTTTTTGCGATCGCTATAGCGATTCGCAAAACAGTGATTCCTATGGGGGAATTTCGCTGGACAACGTTTGGTCCCTGCTTCGCAAACCGATTTTCGTTAGACAACAATTTGCATTTCGCTAGACAGCAATTTCAGTGGAATGGATTATCATCGTCTAGCGAGGCACCACTGCATAAGTCTTTCACAGTATGAGATCTTACGTTAACACAAAAGGGAGTGCAATTTTGTTCTGTTGTTTAATGGCTGAACTCCATCGGTTGTGGTATCTTAGCTCTGCATGACTCATCCCCCCTCGCTCAGCTCCGTTTCTGACTCACAGAAGCTCTGCATTGCATCAGCCCCTGCTTCCGGGCTGCCTCCTGGTTCAACAGCTGCAGTAACACAACCTACACTACATCACTGGGACATCTTTACTGATCAATGTTGTGTGTTATGGAGTCACAAGGAAAAAAAACTGAGCCCTGGAAATCTTCCTGTGTTTAAAACAATTCTTAGAAAAAGCTCATTCTCCCACGGATGACGCTAGGCTGGTAATGGGGAAATTGAAAGGTAAAGATTCCCCTTGACATTTTTTTTTAGTCCAGTCGTGTCCGACTCTAGGGGGCAGTTGTCCATCCCATTTTGCAAGCTGTAGAGCCAGCGCTTGCCCAAAGACAGTTTCCGTGGTCACGTGGCCAGCATGACTAGGGAACGCCGTTTTACCGTCCCACCAAAATGGTACCTATTTATCTACTCGCATTTACATGCTTTCGAACTGCTAGGTCGGCAGGAGCTGGGACAAGCAACGGGCACTCACTCCGTCGCGTGGATTCGATCTTACGACTGCTGGTCTTCTGACCCTGCAGCACAGAGGCTTCTGCGGTTTAGCCCGCAGCGCCACCACTTCCCTGTAGCCGTGGCCATTTTGCTTGTACCATTTGTCTTGAAATAAAAGGCCCCAGAAAATGAAAAATGTCTTGCCAGATATAGCTCCTGATAATTCTCATTGGGCTTGCAAGCGTCTTCTGTTACCTCTGATAGGGCACAAAGAGGGGATGTTTAAAAGTCTGGAAGCTGTAGCATGAATCACAGCTTTGCTTTGCAGCTCACCGAGCAGGGCTTATACTGCCCTGAGCTGTGCTTTGCATGCCTAAATACTGTTGCGGCACAGCTTAAAGATTTATTTGAGTTCTGTTTCACATGCCCGGTGGTAAAAATGTCCACATGGATAAGAATCAGACCTCCCACGGCCCATTTTGCATGAGCCTTGTTCTGTGGCATTGTGACCCCATCGGACTTCAGAACCCGGCCTGCAAAGCACTGCTTTCTCCTGCAGCTTTTCCTCACCGGGAAGTTGCCCCAGCCTCTTGCTTGTTTGGCATCCACTTTACCACCGAAGTCTTCCCCAATTCTGGAAATCCTTGATTTGGCTGGCTGGCTGGGACGCCCGAGTGGAAAAATACCAAAGAGAGACGGCCTTCTCACCTCTTTGCCAGCTGAACCGCATCGGACACCGCACTCCCGTTGACCAGAAGAGAAACATTTGATACGGCGCCGGCGAGAAAACACTCCACAATGCCTTGATTTCTTCTTGGGCAGTAGCCAAAGTCATCTCCTGTTACTATGAGCTTCACTGTGGCTTTGGGCATCCTTAGGTATCAGCCCTGTGAGCAAAATTCAAAAAGGAAAGATTAAAAGCCCTTGACACATCTGCCAGAGTCCCCGTGTTGAGAGAGAGAGTTACAGGATATGACAAGACCAGATAGGATGGAAGTCAAAGCCATGAGTCACCTTAGCTCAGCCGTTGCTAAGGAAAGATCAGCAACATGGAAAAGATCCTGGAAACTGGTTTTCAACGCCTCCTAGCTAGTCTTACCTAGGCTTTTGGCCTCGCCATCCCCTCCACGTATGTGTGCAGGAGTTCAAAGTAGAGTTGGCTTTATGGAAGAAAGGTGCGGCCACATGCAATGTTACTTAACAGGATTACCCCACCAGGGCGTTCCTTATCACCACTGAGATTAGAGATACAGTAAATCGTTTCTGATACTTCCTCCAACTGGGCAAGACGTTAAGGCCCTTGTTGTTGGGTTTTTGCAGTCAAGAATTCTGCACCACCTTTAAAACTAACATAGGCATGATTACAGCATGGTTTAAAAAAAGAATGGGGGGTTTGTGCACCAGTGGAAACTAGTTTTGTGGTCACATATGCACTGTAAGTGAACTTTAGTGCATACAGTGGTGCCTTGTTAGACTATGATAATCTGTTCCACTGAAATTACTGTTTAACGAAATCATTTTCTAGTGAAATGCTTTTCCCCGTTGGAATGCATTGAAACCTCTTTAATGCGTTCCAATGGGGAAGAATCGTCGTTGTCTAGCGAAGATCGGCCATAGGAAAGCCGCTATGTGAACCGCCGATCAGCTGTTTAAATTGCTGTCTTGCGAAGCTTAGGTCCCGAAAACACCTGTTTATGAGCGCGGAGGGAGCTGTCAAAATCGTCGTCTAGCGAAAATCGGTTTGCGAAGCAGGGACCAAACATTGTCCAGCAAAATTCCCCCCATAGGAATCACTGTTTTGCGAATCACTATAGCGATCGCAAAAAGTCAATGTCTAGTGAAAAAACTGTCATGCGGGGTAACTGTCTAGCGAGGCACCACTGTATTATATACTGGGGCTGGGGAAGAAGTGGCCCTGACTGGGGCTGATGGAATTTATAGTCCAACATCTGGAAGCCATAGATTCCCTCTCACCACCACTTCTGTAGCAGTGGTTCCTAACCTTCGGTCCCCAAATGTTCCTGGCCGAAAACTCCCGGAAGCCTTCACCACTAGGTGTGCTGTCCAGGATTTCTCAAGAGTTGTAGTCCAAGAGCACCTGGAGATCCCAACTATAGACACCCCATTGGTCTAGCAACTAGAGCAGAGTGAGGGAAGGTTGGCCCTCTCGTTGTTGCTAAACGCCAGCTCCCGATCTCCTTGACCATTGAACCTGACCCTCAAGGTCTTTGTGTTGCTCATATGTGACTTCTGTCTTTTAGGAAATTCGTGAAAAATGAAAGGAAACAAAACATTCACCCATTTTTGCACTGGGCCAATTAGAGAAGAAAATTCACACTACACCCATCTGCAACATATACGTTGACGTTTGGGAGTATCTTACGAGAAAATAGCCAGCAGCCCTAAACCAAGCATTAACATTGCTGAATGCCTAAGGATTCAAACTCAAACCTAAACTCCAGGCCTTCAATGAAGTATTGAAAAATGCCAGGTTTGTATGGACCAATCTGTCAATTTAACTTTCTCCTGTCTCTGACTGTTTAAAACCTCTTTTTCAGTCAAGTGACACCCATTTCTAATGGTTGAAAAACTCTTTAACTTTCAAGTAGCTTTCAGAGTGTCTCCCTTTCTACCCACAAAGGAATTGGTGCAGTGTAGAAAATTCTTATTAAAAAGAGGCAAAAAAATCTCTTCTTCCTAACCAACCTCCACAAGAGATTTTCTGTCCCCTCTTTTTAATCTGATTTGCAAAGCTGTCAATTTAGTCTTTACTTCCTTCTTCTTTTTTTAATTTAAGAATCTGGCACCGGGAGAGGCAGAGGGGCTCAAAGCACAGGGGAAGAAGCATCACCTCGTCATTCATTTACGGAAGAAACGAGCGCTACTCACCACCCTTCAATGAATCTGGTTGTGATGAAGCAGAAAGGAAGGAGCGGTCGGTTCTGCCCGACCAGGGCGGTTTTAAGAGTTGAATAACTAGCTCAGAGAATAAAAGGAAGTCTATATAGGAAAAAAAAACAGCAAAGCGCGACAGCTCAGCTGTCTGGGGTGGAGATCTGGGTTTGCCAAGGAGGCGTTTCTATTTTGACGGGCAGACAGGTAGTTGAAGGAAGTAGTTGCATTAACGAGAAATATGAAGGACAGCTTGGAAAAGTTAGTTTTTTTTTCAGAAGCCTAACCATGGGTCAGCACAGCCACTGGGAGATGGGAGTCCCAAAAAGTAACTTTTCCAGATTCCAAGCTGTAATCATGGAGGGACTAGTTCTCCCCTCCACAGACCTACAGGCAGAGAAGAGAGTATTTCTGCGTCCCTTGTTCCTCATTCTTACCCTCCCAACAAACCTGCAAAATCAGTTAATCTGGGAGAGCATTTAGATGCACTACAACACAAAGCCAACACACTGCTTATTCCCCCCCCAAAAAAAGCTCTTTAAAAGCTGTTCAAGAGGGCTGGATAGTGGTTTAGAACTGTGGCTGTGGAACCAGAAGCTGGGATTTCGATTCCCCCACTGTGCCTCCTATGCGGCTATGGAACCAGAAGCTGGGAGTTCGATTCCCCCACTGTGCCTCCTGGGGGGGAAGAGCCAACCTGTGTAGCCTTGGGGCTCCAGTATGACCCTAGAGGAAGGGAAGAGTAACCCACTTCTGAGTACAGTAGTGTCTCGCTTAACGACATTAATTCGTTCCAGCGAAATCACTGTAGAGCGAAAATGTCGTAAAGCGAAATTAAAAAAACCATTGAAACGCATTGAAAACCGTTCAGTGTGTTCCAATGGGCTAAAAACTCACTGTCCAGCGAAGATCCTCCATACGGCGGCCATTTTCGGTGCCTGTATAGCAAGGAATCCATCCCTAAGCACAGCGGGGAGCCATTTTAAGCACCCGGCAGCCATTCTGAAAACCCAATGATCAGCTGTTTTTATCGTCATAATGCGAAGAATTGGTTCCCGAAGCAGGGAACCGATCTTCGCGGAGTGAAAAAAACTTATTTAAAACATTGTTTTGTGATCGCAATTGCGATCGCAAAAACATCGTCGTTAAGTGGATTCGTCGTAATGCAGGGTAATCATTAAGTAGGGCACGACTGTATTCTCTCTGGAAAATCCTGAAAAGGGTCACGATCAGTCAGAATTGACTTGACGGCACATGATCTCTCTGGAAAATCCTGAAAAGGATCACAATCAGTCAGAATTGACTTGACGGCACATGATGATGATGATGATTAAAAGCGGTTCTGGGTACTCTAATATCAAGAGACTGGAAAATGAAGAGACGGAAGGATGATAAGTAATTAAGTATTTTTAACAAGGTATTATCTTAGTTAACGTGACATGGGGCGAGTCATTAAATAAAGCATTGACTGTCACACTGGCACCAAGAAAGCCAGTCAGGGAACCGAATGCTGGACAAGCACTCAGCGCAACCAGGTTCGAATTCCTGCTCAGAAATGGAATCTCATTGGTGGGGTGGCAAGGCTAAACCTCTCCTTGAACATTCACACTCTTTGAATCCTACTAAGGCCTCCATCAGTCAGCAGAGACTTGATGACACATAATAACAGGCTATAAGAAATCTTAGAGCTGAACAAGACATTTTGCTATCTCTGTTGTAATAATACAAGGTATTTCAACACAGTACGTCAACTGTTTTAATGTATGCTTTAGTGCAGTGGTTCCCAACCTTGGGTATCCCAGGTGTTCTTGGACTACAAATCCCAGAAATCCCAGCCAGCACAGCTGGTGGTGAAGGCTTCTGGGAACTGCAGTCCAAGAACATCCGGGTGACCCAAGGTTGACAACCACTGCTTTAGTGTGATCCATCACATGTGGTTTGATTCTGACAGATAGCCCATTTAATTGTATAATATATTCTGTTTTCTATTGCATTTGTCCATTCTTTAGTGAGCTACCTTAAATCCCTGGGAATAGAGTCGGACATTAGTTAAATAAATAAACAACACTGGGATTTCTTCCCCCTTAGAGGTTCCTAAGGCAGATCTGAGGCCCCATCCAGCAATCAGCAAGCATGGCTTCTACAAGATTTCAGGAACGCTTGTGCTGTAAATAAACCTGACCGTCTTCATGGCGCCACGACACTCTTTCTGACTTCCAGAATAGGCGGATAACACAGTTCCCCTTTGGAAACCCACCTCGACACAAGCGAGCCAGAACAATTCCTGTCCAGCAGGATGTTTCCCCCCCTGTCTCCACATCAGATATATTAGGAGGTTAAAAAAATTTTTTTTGAGAGAGAGTGAGTTGTAGTTTGGACTCCCTATCCCACACTCCACAGCCAGCCTGGTCAGTAGCTGGAAAACGCTGGGAGCTACAAAAAAAAAATTCCCCCCAAAAAAGGGGGTGCAATCTAGTTCTGTTGAAATAATGCTCTGGGTGTTATCTGATCTGTTGATTGCAATATCAAGATCTCTCTGGATCTCTCGGGATCTGACCCTTTCTTGACCACCTGAATCTAGACACCATCCTTGGTACCTTCCAAGCCAAGCCAAGCGGGAGGAGGACGCCAAGGAGGACCGCTTCACCTGGCGCCTTCCTAAGCGGGTTTCCTCAAGAGCAAGCCTTTTTGCTGCGGGCTGACACCACCAGATCCGGGTGCCTGGGCAGGAGGGCCCCCGGAGGGGGGGGGGAAGTGCGATCCGATGCCGCTTTCCTTCCAGAAGGAAGGCCCAGATCCAGCAGCAACGGCGTCCGTGTGGACGCAACAACCGCCTCCAGCCCCGCTGTGCGTGTTTTTCTCCCCTCCCTCCCAACCCAGACAGGATCCGCGCAGGAGACCCCCCTCCACCACCCAAAGGGATCGCCTGCCTGGGTGGAAACGATCCCAGCTGGGCGAAAAGATCCACCCCTCTTCTCTCCCCCCCTCCCCGGGGGGATGATTTCCGATTGCACTCACCCATCGCGAAACCATTGCGGCCGCGACAGCCGAGTTGGCGCAGCGGGATGGCCCCGCATCCATCACCGGCGGCCAGAAGTCAGGCGGCCCTGCGCGGCATCCTGGGAAGAAGCGGCGGCGAGGGAGGGGGGGAGAGAATGGGCTGCGCGGAGGTAGGACGCGGGCGCCCCCCGATGGCAACAAGAGGCACGGTCGGGAGGTTGCGGGGTTTGCGCGCTCTGTGTGTGTGTGTGTGTGTACACACCTGTGTGTATTTAATGGAGGGGCGGAGAATGAAAGGGGATTCGAGGGGGAGCTCCTTCGATTCAGAATAACTTGGAAACGTTACTTTTTGCGGGGAGGGGAACACGTTACCATAGGATGGGTAGCCTGGGAGCTGGGGTCCGAAAATACCACTTTTTTTTCGTACCCATTCACAAAAAGAAACTTGGCAAAAAAAGAGAGAGAGAGAGAAGAGAAATGGATGATGATGATCATCATCCATGCAGAGCTGGAAGGGTGGAGAGAAGTAAGAGCAAGTTAGGGGGAGAGCCCCCTCGTCTTGCCTGCGCGCTTCCCATCTGGTCTGAATCACACTGGGAACGTAAGTCTCTGGGCTATACAGGTCTCGGGTCGGATCCGAACCCCGTGCTTTTTCGGCTCTTGGGCAACCAGCCCCGGATACCGCCAGCTCTCCGCCGCTTCTCCCTCTTGACCCCCCCCCCAACGCTGCAGTTCTCCCTTCTTCCTGTAGAAGGCAGCATTGGGCACCAGATGCCGCGGAGCCCGAGGAAAGCGAGTCGGGGGGGGGACTAGACAAGGCGGAGACCGGCCAGCCTGGGCTCGATCCCGCTAAGCGGGGCGGCTTCGATGGGGGCGAGAGTTGCGTTGATGCACCAGCAAGAAGCGATATAGTTGTTGTCGGAAAGCAGCCTGATTTAGCCCCTTTCTCCCTCTCTGTTGCCATGCCCCTGGGCCCTCTCTCCTGTCTCTCCAGGAGGAATAATAATAATAATAATAATAATAATAATAATAATAATAATAATAATAATAATAATAATAATAATAATAATGATGATGATGATGATGATGATGAAGAAGA